ATAAAATATAATAATAATTACATTGTTAACCAAATTTATCCTGTTTACATTGTTAATAAGGTATATCATAATTGCACTATATAATAGTGTATAATAATCATATTAATATAGTGTATAATAATCATATTATAATAGTTAATAACATAATAATATAACTATAATAATTATTTCTATATAAAAAAAATTTTTGCCAAGTCACGCGTACGTGACACCGGCCGTCGAAGCGTTACGCAAAAATGAAGAAACCGTATAATATCGATGCTATAGCAGCCGTCCGCCCTACCCGTAATACAACAGACTTGCAACATAGGAGTAAACCGGACAGCTATTACGCCTTCGGATGTCTTCTTTCGGAAACAGTCTGCAAACCTCTCTGGCGGGCTTGGATAACGAGTACAAGTCGGAATGATTGATCGCGGCGAGCATCATAACTCATGTTATTTTTTCCAAATTCGAGCTGCAGTTTTCTTACCTCTCGCCGCGCTGGAGAAACAAGAAGCGACCGTCCAAGAAAAGAAAGCGATCGTGGCAAAACCGTCACGTGTCCCGGCCGAGATCGCTGCCATTTATGCAACCCGTCGGATCGTATTTTGCGAAACACCCGGTGTAACATGACGGTATCGCGTTCGTTGAATATTCATCAATAAGGATAGAATTTCACACCGCCGCCTCCAGGACAAGGTTCGCCGCGATAATGGGATAATGGTGAGCGAGCACAGGAGCGTTGTGAACGGGGCTTAAGGGCGCGCGCGATATACTCGCGCAGGGAGCTGACAGCTGTGCCCGATAGCCCACATGGCGTTCTCTCTTTCTCTCTCTCCTCTCTCTCTCCCTGTTCCTCCACTCTTGTCGGGATGCAGGCCTATCGATTTTATCGCGTAGTTTCGCTAACGAATGGCCGGCCGGACGTTGATTAGAAGGCACCGGTTTATCGGCCGATAGTTATTGACTCGTCCTGGCTCCTTCGGCCACGAATAAAGGAAGCCTGTGCGGTGTCGTCGCGTCGTCTGCACCTCGATCGACCGCATTCTGAAAGCATCGTTCTCCTCCGACGATATTACACGCCCGGATTTATTATTCCGACCCTACGCGAGGACATCCATCGACGATCAAATCGGGGAAAGCACGTCGGATGGAACCGCGCCAAGGCTGTTCGCATGATGTAAAACCGCTGCTATTATCGGCGGCACGCTGCGTTTAGTATCGCTATGAATTTCAACGCGAGCACTACGGTTGACGATCCTGTGACAGCTGTAAAAGCCCCCTCGGCGAGTCCTTGCATTAGCGAACCTTGCCTCCGCATCCGATTTCGTTCTTCCGCATGATCGATGCTTATTTCTGACGATACAACTATTCTATTGGGTTTGGCAAGAAAGTAATTTCGGTTTGCACAAATAGAGAGCTTTGCATTGTTATTCTTTCGTTAAGGTTGTGATCTTTTTGTCTTCCGATTTGGTAGTTGACACGTTTGGGTTACTATTGAAACAAATACGAAACACTGCGTTTCGCAGTGCCGGAAAGAACTCTTGGTCCATCATGTTCGTAGAATATTACATGGAAGAATTTTTATTGTTACTCTTGTGTTTCTAGATACCGATAAATGTTTGCTTCCTTACTGATCGCGTTGCAAGACACATTTTTCTATAATCTGAGTTTATATTGGGTTGGCAATAAAGTAATTTCGGTTTGCACCAATAGATAGCTTTATGTTCGCATTGTCATTCTTTTTGGTTAAGGTTGTAATCTTTTTGTCTTCAGATTTGGTAGTTGACACGTTTGGGTTATTATAGAAACAAATACCGTGTAGTTTCGTTTACAACTGATAGTTTGCTGTCAATTTTAACACGGAGTGCAAAAACGAACATTTCCGACATATTTTACTTTCTTATTTTCATAAAGGCAAGAAAGCGGCCGAGGCTCGCAAAGAGATACGCGAAGTTTGTGGCGTCGATTGCTTAACAGAACGCGTGTGTCAGAATTGGTTAAAAAAATTTCGTTCCGAAGATTTTTCACTTAAAGATGACCAACGTACTGGTCGACCTTCCGAAGTTGACGATGACAAAATCAAAGCCATAAATGAATCGAATCGTCGTATAATTGTACGAGAGATTGCAAAAAGGTTAAATGCATCGCGCACAACAATCGAATATCACATAAGATGTCTTGGACTTGTTAAGAAGCTCGATGTTTGGATTCCGCGTGAATCGAAAGAAATTCACTTAACACAACGAATCGGTATTTGCGATACGCATTTTAAACGTAATGCAATCGACCCTTTTTTGAAACGAATTATCCCTGGTGATGAAAAATGGATCGTTTACAATAACATTAATGGTAAAAGGTCATGGTCCAAGCGTGTTGAACCAGCACAAACCATATCGAAAACCGAATTGCATCGGAAAAAGATCACGCTGTCAATTTGGTGGGACTAAAAAGGTGTTGCGTATTTTGAGCTGCTTCCAAGCAACCAAACGATCAACTCGGATGTTTACTGCCGACAACTTATGAAATTGGAGAAAGCGATCAAAGTGAAAAGGCCAGAACTGGCAAATCGCAAAGGACTCGTGTTCCACGACAATGCAAGGCCTCATACATCTTTAGCAACACGTACAAAATTATTGGAGCTTAATTGGGAAGTGATGTCGCATTCTCCATATAGCTCCGACCTTGCACCAACGGATTATCAATCATTTCGAAGATCACAAAACTTTTCAAATGGTAAAAATTTCAGTAACAACGATAGCCTCGAATCGCACTTGATCGAGTTTTTTACTAATAAGAACCAGAAGTTTTACGAGCACGGAATCACGAAGTTACCAGAAAGATGGCAAAAGACCATCGAACAGAATGGAAAATATTTGACCGATTAAAGTTCATTTCTTATATAAAAAAAAATGAGTTTTATTTCACACTAAATACCGAAATTACTTTCCTGCCAACCCGATAGCAGTCAATGTTACGCTTCGCCGATATCTCGCGGTCGCCGAGAATGTCTCAAAGACGCGACCGCGATGCTTAGAAACTCGGTGTCATCGTCTTGCTCCCGGGTATCTTCATTTTGCAATTGCAAGATGGACGGCGTAGGACGACAGGCGGTTCCCACAGACCAAACGCGAACACAAAGGCGAAGGGCTCCGGCTCCGGGCATCGAGCGCCGAGGACGTAATCCCGGAATGGACAATCGGCGTAATATAGAGTGGAGCAGAAAGTAATGATACCGCGGCGAGTGCGGCTCGCTCGAAAATCCTCTTAAAGCAGCCTTAACGAGTGAACGACCGCGAGCTAGAGGCGGTTTAATTGGAGCCGCGATGATGAATAGCGGGGTAGGCAGGGAGAGCCCCGAGCGGCAGCTATCTCCGACCTTAAACGACGTATCATCCGGAAATTAGAATGAAACCAAGGCCTACCGGTCGCGCGGCGAGCCTTCGGGGCCTTGTGATTCGCGGGGCCGTTGGACCGTCGGCTGCGGAAGAGTTACGACGTCGCTGGATCCGCCGGAGAATCTTCGGCCTATCGCGCGGATTATTAACGATCCCGCCGCCGTCTTAATTAGACCTGAATAGCGGCCGTTGTTAATGACCGCCGCGATTCCGCGTCTCCACAGGGCGTTCGTGGATCGCGATTGCCTCTCCGCGGGTGCTCGATGCGCAGATATCGGGCCGGATAATGAAAGGAATCCGGAAGCGCTCGTCGACTGACGGCATTGTACAGGATGCGCCGTATTTGATCGTGTAATCTACATCTTTTTGTTGCGCCGCAATTGAAACCGCCGCCTCCCGCCTCCTACCGCCGCGCCAAAGTTTGTTCTATCTTTGGCACGCT